GAAGGGGTCAATCTCGTCGTTACTTCCTAAGGTCTTGCCCTAAGCAAACCCTTACTAAGCACATTCTTAGGGTTTCCTGCCTTAGACGAAAGTCGTTCTCCCTTCATCCCTCGTACTTTATTACTCAATAACTTACGGAATATCTTTACTCCTAACCTTATCTTATAGAAGTTATTTACTTCTATCCTTAACTCATACACATAAATACTAGGGACCATCGAGTTACGTATCGCCATCCGGTGTACCTATCCTCAAGGCAATGGTACTGCGTTACATATCGTCGTCCAGTCCATGCCCGGTCAACTACTGCGTTACGTATCGTCGTCCAGTAGTGACCCAATATCCTCGATCAACTGTTGCGTTACGTATCGTCGTCCAACAGTGATCCGATCAGCTACTGCATCCAGTAGTGATCGAACCGCCCGGGGGTTCATCTTACCATTAATTTGGGTTAGTTATGTACTTATCTTCTACCTTGTAGTGTTCCCTTTCGTGAAGAGGTCACCAGCTTGGCCATCAATCGAATCCATGGAAATATTCAGGAATATGACACAAAAACTTCATTTCCTCTCTCTCATGGAGCGTGAAGAGTATTGTCGTGAAGGTGAAGTCATTAGTATGATCATAACTTTCTCCAATCTTATGCAGACAATATCCAATCTTTGGATCCATGGTGTCGACACTTTGTTGAAGGACATTCTCATCAATTTATCTGAGTTGGAGAGACAAGGATTTGAGGTCATTGTGACACAAGGTAGTATCAACAAGCTGTTGTCAATCAAACAAGCAATCAAGAATGCTGAAGATGAGATACAGAAGTATGAGGATGAGATGACAGCCTCGAATGCCACGATCGAGGAAACCGAAAAGAAGATATCGGCATTGCAAGAAACACTGGTTGAATCCAATGCACATTTGGATGGCAAAAAAAGATATGGCTAAAGTTGTGCATTCACCTACTGATAAATTGAAGCGCCGCATCAACAATGCCCCAACCGAGTTCGAATATTTAACTGACAGCCTTGGAGATAGATGGTAGAATTAGATAGTTAAGTTGAGGTAATTAGTAGTATGTATTCAGCCTATGTAGATTTAAATCCCTCTTTCTTTGATGGACTATGGTCTATCTTGTAATGCATGAAATATTAGCCAAAACGGGTTTGGGTTCTTTGTTATGTACATCGTGGTACGAGTTACAAGCAACGGGAGACTTTATCTTTTATCCACCTAAACTCATAGATCAGTTCATCAGGTAATGTGTAATGACATGATTAAGTTTCATGTAGCCTTACCATTTAAGGAGAAACAAACGTGATCAAAGGAGGGCATAATCGGATAAGGCATGGTTATAGGACAATAGGTAGGATTTTTTAAAATAGAAAGAATTTTCAAAACAATATACTAGGACTTGCACAACTTATTATCTTATCTTATCTTCTTAATTTTAATCTTAATCTTAATCTTCTTAAACGTGATCAAAGGAGGGCATAATCGGATAAGGCATGGTTATAGAACAATATGCAGGATTTTTTTTAAATAGAAAGAACTTTCAAAACAAAATACTAGTACTTGCACAACTTATTATCTTATCTTATCTTTTTTAATTTCAATCTTAATCTTCTTAATATATATATTATTTTTGTTCAAAAACAATTTCTTACCAAGGTAGACAATCTTTTTACAAACAAAAAAGTTAGTTAATGATCTATTTATGGTGTTATCTCTCTTTTATTTTAATAATTTTGTTTTTTTATTCAATAATTCTTTTTTTTTTTTGTATTATACCTATATTTGTAACAATAGACTAATGTTTGTAGAGTGATACATATTGCATTTTTTCAAATCAAAATATCTTATTAAACTTTATCATGTAAACTTCTACATATTTTTACTAAACTCAATAATAAGTTACCTTTTGTTCAAAATTTTAAACAAACACATGCATAAATAAAATATAATTTTATCGATTAAACAAAATATAAATATGGAAAAAGAGAAAAACATTGTTAGACAATCGACTTTCAAAAGTAAACTATATTATTTTGTATTTTGTTATTAAATACTCTCTTATATCTAATGCATATCTATAAAATAAAACGAGTATTGTATAGCAATAGGTCTAGATATAAACTGTGATGAAGTAAATGTATTATATGATATGTTTGGATGTTAGAATAATCTTTGTTGACAATGTACGATAAACATTATATTTGATATACCATTGACATAGCATTGATCAAAGTGTCAAAAAAAAAGTTTTAGTTTGTAATAGTAAGCATTATGTATTTTGATCGACTTATTGTAGCCACAAAATTTATTTTCATATTCCACCGATGAGGTGAGTTCAAAGCTCTTAATTCATATGTATGTGAAATGTCACAATGTTTGTATGAGTTTTAAAATTTTAATAAAAAATATACTTTTCAAAAAATAATAATTTAACTAGTCAAATAATATGGCGTTTTTAATGCACATAAACCTATGTGCATTGTAGACATGCTTTGCAATTATTAAGATATATAATGAAAATTTTGTTTCAGAATTAGTACCAAAGATAAGGAAAATTTTGCAAATGCACATTTAAAAAGTTGGAAACTTATACACCAAAGGATAGGGATGACAATTAGGGCTGGCTATTTGGACCGGGACCGGATGAAAAATCGGAAACCGGACCATATAACCCGGACCGGGACCGGATAGTAAACAATCCAATCCAATCTTTGGGCTTAGATTTGAGGTAAAAAACCGGATAAGAGAGCTCAACACCCAAAACTTAAGGGTAATTTGCATAAACGGTCACAAACCTTTACACTTAGTACAAAACTTAACCAACTCCTCACCCTTTTAGGCCTTAGGGCACTCAAATTCCCACAATCTCAATATAAAATCAAGACCGAATTGGGACCGGACCGGGTCAAGACCGGATCGGATCAAGACCGGACTGTTTCCAATCCAATCTTCGGTCCTTATATTCTCAAAAAAACCGGACTGGACCGGATCAATTTGGGCCAATTTAACCGGACCGGACCGTATAGCCACCCCTAATGACAATGGGGCGGGTTTTGCCAAACCTAAACTCAAACTCATGGGTTCATCCGCAAAAAAAAAAAAAAAAAACTTGCGGTAAAACCTAATGGGATCATAAAACTCAAACCCAACCCAACTCGTTGGGTCGATGGTTCGTGGGTATTGTCACGGACCAACTCTTGAGAATCTTCCACGTGACAGTGCCCGTGGGTTTTGTGGCAAAAAATTTACAATAACAATTAACAAGAAACTATCAAAATAAAAAATCAAGCATCAATCTCACCATACAAACTATCCATACATAAAAAACACCATTCTAGAAAATTCAACCAAATCACACACTATCCATACCAATCTAGAAAATTCATGAAAGTCACAAATTATCCATAAACAACATGATTAATTGAAAGTTTCCTTCTCCTTGAGAACTTGAACATTGTCATCTTAGCTTCAATCTCCGATCCATAACATCAACTTCATTATACACAATTAGGTAGACCAAAATTAGACATGTCTCCACAATCATAAGGAAGATGAGTTGCTTGAAGAAGATATACTACTCAGAATATTAAATATACGGGTAACACATGAAGCACAATTTGGATCTTAGTCATCATTAATGGTGGCATAAATGATAGGGACCATAAATGATGATCTTATCGATTGTTTCCAAGCAATCTACAAATAGAATAGCAAGTTAGCAAAGAGTGGTAGCCAACAATTTCATAACTCACAACAAATATTAAAGTTTTTGTTTGAAAATTGATTTATGGGGTGTGGGCGGGTATCCATGGATCGAGTATCTCTAAACCCAAATCAAACCCAACCCGGTGAATTGTAGATGGGTTTAAATCCGAACCAGGCCCAAAACCCGTTAATATTAATAAAAATAATTTTCCAATTAAATAAAAACAAAATTTAAAAATATTAAAAAAAAATTCCAATTAAATAAAAACAAAATTTAAAAATATTAATAAAAATAATTTTCCAATTAAATAAAAACAAATTCACAAACAAGTAAAACAAAAAAGGATTCGCATCTGCCCACTCGTCCTCTCGTTATATACCAATCCCTTGCCCCAGCTCCTCGTCAGTAAAGTGAGGTTGATACTTCGGCGGCGTGACGAGATCCGGATCCAGGTCCTGCGAAAATCACATCTACACTCGTATTGAACACCAAAACCAAAGCCATCGTCTCGTTCCCGATTCGGCGCCATCCCAATGTAATTAAGGGCTTCTTTGCATGGTGGATTTAAAAAATAAGATTTTGGTATAATTTAGGTTTTGTAAAATCATACACATATGAGACTTTTGAACTCATTATGGATGTGGAAAATACCATTGTTTGTTTCATGGATTTCATGATGAATTTTGGTAATTAAATTTGTTTGTATGAAGTGAAACTTACCTTTATTACCCTTAATGATATAAGAAAAAAAAAGAAAATATGAGGGATAGCTTGATAAAATATGATCAATTCTCACCTAAAGAGGTGAAATTTTCAAGTCCATGGGCCCCACGAATTTGGACCCTCGAATTCCATGGGTCCCATGAATTTGTTACCTCTAAATACTTGAAGCAAACAATGAATTTTGGACAAATTTCATTATGAATTCAAATTCATCGCCAAATCCTTCATCAAATTCATCAAGAAAACAATCCCTAAAAGGATTCGGCGAGTTTCGGTGGAAATCGGAACTTAAAACCCCGATCGTATTCCCCGCGTAGTATGTCTGCAAAATGAAAAAGGGGTTGCTGCTAATCGAGAAGGAATAAGACGAGCTCGTGGTCACGGTAGAAGGAAGAAGGAGTACTAATGTATTTACTGAAGTTACGTAATATAAATGACACTTTCTCGCTACATGTTGATATTTCTCTAACGGTATTAGCCCTAATAATATTTTCCATCGGTATCATGATTCCGAGTGAACATCTAGTGGCCTCCCTGAGTCTGTCATGACTCGTTGCGGGCATGCGATTCTGTGGATGGGGAGGCAAAGGCCATTACGCAAATGCTATAATGAGATGAAAAGCCGGCCGCATCCATTACAGAAGAGTGCTCTGTTCTTGCTGAACATGATATATCATGAGCAACCTCTACATCATCACCGTATAAGAAGAGGAGCATACACTACGACTATGCAACGGACTGAGTGCATATTGATTGCTTTTGGGAACAATTGCAACTTGCCATTGTTTAAAGAAAAAACGGTTGAACAAGGACACTGCTATTTGGAACTACAAGACCTCCACCCATCCATTAACCTCACTGAATCATATTATCTGCACTTCTACCCGTGACCATGCTGTTTCCTATACCAACCAACTTCAACAAAAAAGCGTACAGCCTAGTATGAGCTACTCAGCAAAACACAATCAAAGTGAAAACTCAGGTTCAACCATATCATTGTAACCCAGTGTGAATGAGAGCTCTCAATGATCAGGCACTTCTGAATGTGCTCACTTATGAATTTGAACTTCAAATACCTTGCAACATGAGCATGAAAGAAACATCAATAGGTTGTTTCCTAGTACGCGCTACTCAGAAAAAGGCAATCAAAGTGAAAACTCCTATCGAACCCAGTGCGAACGAGTTCCCTCAATGATCAGGCAGTTCTGCATGTGTCCGCTTATGAACTAGAACCTCAAATAATTTGCAACATGAACACGAAGGAAACATCAGTAGGTTGTCCAGATAATGGAAACGCACTATCTTATTATCACCAATCTCATCATAAACATCCATGGAAAATTGGCAATTCAAAGTTTACTACACACATCACACATGCCAATGTTAAGGGTGCGGGGAGTCGAGTCCTTGAACCTAGATCACCATATATATTCATTAACAACAAAATGACCCCAATACAATTCTCAATCTGCAAATATATAGGGTATAACCTAATTAGAGAAGCCTGCCAAAAGAAATAGAATGACTACCGATTATTGTCTGGTTGAGATCCCCGATAGTTTATACTTTATATAACAAACAAACACAGTTGAACTCGAGGAGGTACTTCACCTGATTCGATGTTCATATGTTCACAGAGTAGCCCTGCACATAATCCACTCGAGCACGAATCAAGTTGTCAATTATTTCATCTACCAATTGACCAAAAGGCTTACTTAGTATCAACGGTAACCAGTGAATTGAAATAATGAGCAGACCTGTAATGCATCGTTTTCGTTCTGAAACCGATACTCTTTTCATATCAGCAGATAACCATGTAAAGCGAGACAAGGGCACATCAAACTTGACAAGTACTTATAAGAACAAAATAATTCCATAAAGTGCAATTCACAAGTAACAGCAGACATCAGCATGCTTAACTAAAGCTGACAACCATTAATAACACAATATCACAATTCTCAACAAAGGGAAAACAATCATTACCAGTAAATATAGCAGGAAGATCTGGATATAGGGGGCAGTCAAGAGAATAGCTCAGGAAATCCATCATTTATCCATTTCAGCTGCCAGCAGTAAACACAGACTAACATTAAAAGGTTATCAAAAATAACACATCCATTCATAACAAAAGGTCCTAGAAAAAAGTAAAACAGCTTAGAAACAAAAGATCATTTGAGATTATCCAAGATCGCAAAAACGCAATGACATGACTTAGTGGTCAATGCTCTTCTTGGCTTTCAGCGATTCAAGAGCCTTCTTCCTTAACTCAATCTCTAGCTTTTTCTGTTCGGAATGCTCCTCTTCATCATCACTCGAAGAATACATTTTTCCCCTGGCTGCGTGGTCATCATCAGAAGAATCATCATCTCGCTTCTTCAGTTTCAGCTTCTCGGCCTGTCTCTCTCCTCTTTTACGGCGCCGCTCCTCACGTCTACGGCGTTTTTCCTCCTTGCGTGATTTCTTCTCTTCTTTCCTCCTCTTCTTAACCTCTTTCCTTTCTTCAACTTCAGAATCACTTTCATCATCAGATGATGATTTTCCATGCCTATGTGATCTTTTATGCTTTCTTTTTTCCTTGCCATCGTGCTTACCACTTCTGTCTGAATCAGAATCAAGTCTACTACCACCATTACTATTCTCAACGTTTTCAATTGAAGTTATAGTATCAGGTTTGCCGTGTCTATCATCTTTCATAAAGTGCCCATGAGAAAGGCTGCCAACAGACTTCTGAACATCTGCTAGGCTCTCCACGGGAGACTTCTGACCCTCCCAAGCTTCAGCATGCCCCTTCCTTCCATAAGATTTCTCACTGCTAGAAATGAGATGCAAATATGTTAGGTTGCATGTACCTCTTCAACCCATCAATATAACCAGGATAGATTCTTTCTGCTGCACATTACTACCTCCTTGTTTCCTGATCTTTCTTCCCTGGTTCTGTCTTATAGTGGCTTCTAGACTTTGTTTGATGGCCTGAATTGATTTCAGGAGACTGTTTGCCCTTATATTGAACTTCGACGAGAGAATCCTTCAACCTACTAGCATATGTTTTATCTGAAGGTTAGATGTATTGTCATCACCAACGTCACAAATGAAAACACCAGTGGGTAGAAAGATAACAGTCATGGTTACAGTACTAATAAGAAGTTTTGTTTACAAATCCTCACCGAGAACGGTTATTTCCGTCACCCTCTTTGCTATCGTCGGAGCTTTCATATCGAGATCTTTTATCTTTTGGTTGTGGCGGAGGACTAAGATTGTGCTCTGGATGCAGCTCCCTCATTTGCCTTGGAATACTATCATACAATAGCCAACAAATCAGAACTGTTAGTGTAATTACCAAGAACTACATCTAGTTGATTTAAGTAATGCAAATCATATATACCTTTTGTCATCATTGTTACTAGTTTTTTTTATGGGTGGTGGAGATTCCGATTGGACAGGAGACCCCTCAGGTGAAGACAAAGGTGCAGGTGATCTCTTTCTCCAATCCTTCCGTTCCTTAGCATCTCCCAGAGGTGACCTCAACTGCCCAGATTGAGCCCGTACAGGAGAGGATATTTCCCGACTCCTTTAAAGGGAGACTTGGTCAGCATCACAACTCCAAATTCAAATATAAAGTAAGAAAGTTAAGGAGCTACGAACCCACCTAAGTTTTCCTTGTGATGATTGACCTGTAGATCTTCTAACTGTAGGGGAAGGGGATCTTTGCCGAATAGGAGATGGAGATCTTGAAACAAACGGTGAGGGTGACCTTCGACGTGTACGCACTGGTGATCTTTGCCGGGCAGGGGCAGGAGACCTACGTCTTGCTGGAGATCGAGACCTACGTCTTGCTGGAGATCGAGACTTACGTCTTACCGGAGATCGAGACCCACGTTTAGAACTAGGTGGAGACCTTTCATATCTACGGCGTGGTGGGGAAGGTGATCTCCGCTTTAGTGGTGAAGGAGATCGATTATGCAAAGGTGACGGCGATTGACGGCTCTGTGGCGATGGGGATCTGCGCCTTCTAGTGGGAGAAGGGGTCCTGCGACTTCTAGCAGGTGACCTACGTTGTCGAATAGGTGAGGGAGATCTCCGGCGTCGCATGGGTGAGCGTGATCTACGCTTCCTGCGAGGTGGGGATGGTGACCTGGGCCTCCGAACCGGTGAAGGTGATCTACGGCGTCGAATGGGTGAAGGTGATCTGCGGCGGTAAGGAGATCGCAACCTACGCCTTACTGGGGACGGGGACCTGCTAATTGAAGGTGATCTGGATCTTTGTCTAACAAAGGATGACCGCCTCCTCAGAGGTGAATTAGACGCACGTGGTGAATGCCCCCGACCAGGAGTAATTGACCGTTTTCTACGCCGTTCAGAAGAAACTGAGCGATGTCGTGAATAAGGTGATCTTGAAAAGCTTCTGGGCTTTATCCTTCCACTAAGAAATTAACAGAGAGCATCAGAACCCATAATATCCGTTAAGTAAAGCACTCAAGTATAGGTACAAGGTGGATACACACCTAGGAGAGGAAGGTGAAAGATCACCTCGATGTGGAGACTTAGAGACCCTGAAAAATTCATAGATAGAAGTTATGCTTCTAGGCTGATACACTCTTCATTCACATTTCTCATCCATGTAAATTTGGCTCCAGAAAATCAAATGCAAGATACCACCACTAAAGGATTGATCTTGATAGAATAAAAGTAAGGCATAGTCACATGTTTATTTTTCCATGTTCCTCACACAAAATTCGCACTCTCAGTTACTACCCCGAGCAGATCAGGGTTGGATACCTCTAGTAACTTCCAAACAGAACAGGTAATCAGTAATTTCTGTTCTTGCTGGCAAGTAAACAACACGGCACGTTCCAAAGCAGTGAAACAATAACTGTGACGTTTAAAACAGTACATAGCTAGACAAACAATCCACAGTTCTCGAAATTGAGGCACTGCAGAAACAACTACAAAAGTAGAAAGAATAAAGCAAGGGCATTGACACCCAAAAACAAAATTCCTAACCTGCTCCGTCCCCTCGACCCGTTTCTTATTTCAGCTTCTTTCTCATTATCAAAAGCACCACTTGAACCCTTTAATTGTATCTGTTTTGATCTTGGATCCGCAGAAGTATTATTGGCCTTTGTCTCAGCACCACCGTCCTACAGTAGTTTGAGGTAAAGGACATGAACCCAAATAATTGCAGAAGCTAGCTGAACGCCATGAAAAAACAAAATAAAGTTACAACCAGAAACCCAATTTGTAACAAATGTATTACTGGCATGAATAAGTTAGTATTACCATCTTCCTCTGGCGCATCAAATCGGAATCTATATTCTCCTTCTCTTTCTTTTTCTGAATCTCAGCAGTTATCCGATCTCTTTCTGCCTGGAACAACAAAGAGTCACTCCTACCAGGCCTTCAACAAGCAATTTTAGTAGCAAAAGCTACAAGACATGAAATTATTTCTAACCTGCTTCTGCCTAGTTTCTTCTTCTTTGGCATCCAAAAGCTGTTGAGGAACGCCACTGGCATTCTTCTGGGCACTGATAAGAAGGGACCAGAGCTCCTTCATAAACTTTCCAGTGTTCTTTTCCATGAAGCCAGTAAGTTGTATCTGGACCGCTTTCCCATTAACTGCCTACATCAGAAAAAACCAGAAGTCCACAAAAACTTTAACCATCTTACGCAGTTGAAAGCTGACCAAACGCATGACTTTACAAAAAACCCGGCACAAGAAAACAACTCTGAAAACAACAACTGAATCTTGTGATAGATTACTCGATTTTAGTGGAAATAGAACGGCTCTGCAAGCTATACAATTCCCAAAACCATCATTCATTTCAAGTAGTGACGACGGACGAGTGATGAAATAAGCAAGGGGCACATTTCCATTCAGATAAAGGCATTGAAGAGAAAATATGGAAAAGCCAGCATTTTTGTTATACCTTAGTGTCGAGAAGGCCGTAAATGAAGTTGATAAGAACTTCGTCCTCAAAACCAAGAAGCTCAGTCACCCTATTAGCAATCCATGGTTTCATAACATCCATTTTCACTTTAGTCATATCCACCTAATAAACCCAACCAAAGAGCAATGAAATGGTGTAAGAACCACCCAATTCGGGGAAGAACAAAACAAGAAAAATGGTCCGAAACCGCTCAATCGACAGTCCAACCAAATACCAGGTGTTCCAATTCAGGAGCAAACTTCTGCGACTTCATCAGCTTCGCTTGCTTGTTAGAAAACCGAGTGTCTTGCTCGGCGGACGTACCCTTCAAAACAAAAAAGGAGAAGAAGCGCAAACAATCGGGTTCAGAACCGAGATCCGCAGAATTGGTCAGCGCAAGGTCAGCAGATATCGATATAATGATTCCTCGAGAAGCAATTACCCGGAAAAACCCGCCTGACATTTCCTAGGGTTTCTGGATTCCTTCAGCTGGTAATGGGAAATGGTGAATTGAGGCGAAAATGAAATCCCCCTGCAATCAATCAGACATGGATAAGGGGAGCGCGCGATAGAGAGAGATCTCTGCATGAATGACAGAAAGGAAGGGAGAGATTTACAGAAACAGGTCTGGAGAGAGCAATTTCGTAAGTTAGGTGGCGCGGGGAAGAACTCGCAGTCTCCAACTCCAACTACGCAATTTGGCTTAGACAAAGTTCCTTTCTCTTTCCTTCCTTCCGCTTCCAGTCACTTTCGCGAGTTTCGGTTTTAGGGCTAAAACGAAGTAAAGAAGAGAATGAAGACGGGGTCGGTGATTTGCTTATCTATCTATTTCCTTGTCCGAAAATGACTATTGCCAAGGTTGTCATGAAGCTGAGATAGGATGGCAATGGGTTCGGGTCGGGTGAATAGTGCATATCCGTTACCCTATTTAAAGTATTTCGGGTTTTATCAATATTAATACTCACATGTAAAATGCGTTAAAAATCAAAATCATGTTCATACTCGTTTGGGTTTCGGGTATCTACGGTTATTCATGAGTATTAATTTCTCTTCATAACTCCAACCAATATGTTAACATTCACACGTATTCTTACATTACGTAAGAGAAAATTAAATATACGACAAGAATTCACTAGAATGAAGAAAAATAATTAAAACAACACAATTTCATGAAAATATTATATTTATATGCTAAATATAAAATATGTAGAGAAAAATAATGATTATTTCTAGACAAAATACATATGCATGTGTATAATCGGGCGGGTTCGGGTCGGATAGTGAGAAACCCATGTCCACCCATTACCCGCAATACTCGGGTTCGGATTTTACCCGTACTCACTAAATGTCATTTGGGTTCGAATTTTACCCTACCCTATTAGGCCGGATTCAGACGAATATCCACGATTACGGATATTTTTGTCATCCCTAGCTGGAGGTGGTATGTCGTCGATAGAATTGGATTTAATCAGTATTGGTTGGAATATTGCAGTATGAATGGTATGATCAATTTTTTATTTTAACTAAAATAATATTTATTTTTTTGGTGAATTTAATTAAATAATAATATTTTTTTTCCATTTAAAATTTAAATGTTGATGTTATTTGTTGGATTCAAATATACTTGTTTAGACGTTTATGTTATTTGTTGAATTCAAGTATAAACTTTTAGATGTTTGCGTTAAATGCAGTGTTATTAAAACTGAGCCGAGCCGGTCGGTCCGACCGGTAGAACCGCCACTCGGTCACCAAACCGGCTCGCGCGCAGTAAAAAAGCCGGAATGGTTGTAAGAACGATTTTTGGAGCAGTCAAGGCGGTTAACCGCTCGTCCGGTTTCTCCATTCTAGTCGTTAAGTTTAATTATTAAATAAAAACTAATAAACGAAAAAATCAAAATTCAAATCGGCTGTCTTGAACGACGAAACTCAACCAGAGAGTTGTCCCTCTCAAGCTCTCTCCGTCGAACACAGGTCCTGCGGAGTGTGACGAACCCAGCGAGGGCAACCGTCGGCGAACCCAGCCCGTCCCGTCGAAACCAGCTCTCCCTGTCGAACCTGCTCCTGCGTCGCCCAGCTCCTGCCATCGAACCAGCTCCCTTCCGTCGAATCCAGCTCCTGTCGGTGAACCCCGCTCTCCTCGAGCATCGCCAACTCCTGGGTGTTGAGTTTTGTGAAGAAGAATCCCAAAAAATGAAAAAGAAGAAGAAGGAAAAGGAAAAGAAATCGAGAGGTTGAGAGGGGGTGGGGGTGAGCGGCGCTTGCCGCTTAGGGTAGGGTTTGGGTAAATTTAATTTAGGGCAAATACAATATATTAGCCATAATTATTAAGCAGCGGCCGGGGAATTATAGCCACAACTATCGAAATATAAATTATTAGCCAATCGTTAAGTTTTCGTTAACACTTCTGTTAGTAATGATGACTAAGCTTTTACGATGGTGAGCTGGCTCCCACATGGCAGTCATCATATCATATTTTTTACGATGCTGACATGACCTTCTACGTTAAAAATTTGAAAACAGTAACGGGCTGTTAGCCAAATCTTGACCCACAACAATAGTTATTGCTAATAATTTGTATTTCGATAGTTGTGGCTATAATTCCCCACTACTTAATAGTTATGGATAATATATTGTATTTACCCTTTAATTTATATCATGTAATATTACTTTGTGTTACTTGTGGTTTATTTTGTTTGAGTCATTATATTGATCAATTACGTGTCATTCTATTAATAATATTATTATTTATAAGCTACCTGTTGTCTAACGGTTTTTAAACGGTCCAACACCGGTTGGACCACTAAGTGCGAGCATTCACGTTATCAGGTCATACTCCAGTTCGATTCTGACAATATTGATTAAATGTTATATTTTATTATATTTTTGTATATTATTTAAATAGGTATGTGTATTTTTAGGCATATTGTTTTCAAATATATATTATTATATATGCCTACATTATTTTCCACTTCTCTACATTTGTGGCTAAAATTGACATGAATTAGCATAAACCAATTGTACCACCGATCGAACCATACCAATTGTAAAACCGACACAAAGGTATAAACAGGTTTGCCAATCTTGATTATTACCTTCCCCGGGCTATTTGCCGAAACTGATATGCATAATCTATATATCAATAACCATGCATAACTCCATACTTACCTTTTATGGAAGCACGAACTTTTTTCTAATTAATTTTAATGGGTTATATTGTTTTTATTTTAAGTTATAATTTAATTTTTTTACCGATAAATCATATTAATTGTGCTTTTAAAATAACATCTACTTTGATATATTTTGGAACAAAATAAATTGAGACATTTATTACTAGTTCATACCATATATAGTGGTAATCGTTTGGTAGTACATGAAATTATACCATGTAATATGAAAGTGTATCATGATAGTATGAATATATCATAGTGTAGAATGGTTGTATACATGATAGTAGTAATATACTAACTACCATATTTCATCACAATCTATCCCCAGTTACCATCTTACACAAGGGTGGTATATTTGGTCCATAATTTGTAGATCCAAAATATCACTCTGAACTCATTCCTTCTAGCTAAATTTTTTCAAAATTTAACTGAAAACGAGGGTGGTAAAGAGTGATACCAGGGTGATAACGAGTGGTATGAGAGTGATGAAAAACATTTCTCGAAATAAATCAAAAATGGATATCATCTTGTAGATTACAAATAACTCGTTTCATCTATGATAAAAAAAATTAATCCAAGTTAAAAATCAATTAAAATATGAACATAAAATACACTTTAATCTCGCCACCTTAGATTTTAACCGACTTAAAATTAAGAAATGGGATCTAGTTGTGAAAATGTCACTACAAAAATGACAGATAGTCCTGACAAGAACTTACTGACGACACTAAATTTTTATAAGAAAAATCAGTTTTCTGATGAAAAACCTATGTCATTAGTAATATCTACCTTTTTACCGACCACATTCAAATCTTGTCAGTAATTATGAGCAAATTAAGAAATGGGATCTAGTTGTGAAAATGTCACTACAAAAATGACAGATAGTCCTGACAAGAACTTACTGACGACACTAAATTTTTATAAGAAAAATCAGTTTTCTGATGAAAAACCTATGTCATTAGTAATATCTACCTTTTTACCGACCACATTCAAATCTTGTCAGTAATTATGAGCAATGCAGTCAAAAGCGCGATTCTACCTTGAAGCGGAAAAGGGTAAAATCGTAAAGCGTAGAATTAAAGCGTAAAAGCGTAAGTTTTTGACATGTACTGTAAAAGAACTAAAAATATGTTAAATACGACATATACTATGTAAAATATGAGTCCACAAAATTTAGATAAATTAATAAATACTTGCAATTCATGTCTAAAGTAGAGCAACATATAACCTCTTAATAATAAGTTCATAAACATAAATCTTATCAAGAAGCCACCTTCCCCTCTATGCTAATAAATTTGGGAAGAGCATGAATGGTGAATTAGATTACTTTATTGAAGTTCAGAATGCATCCAAGTATCTGGTATGTATCTTTTAATCTCAAATGTATCATATTGTTGGTGATTTATTTTTAGGGCTAATACCACTAGGAAACCCGAACTATTAACTTTGTGTCATTTGTGTCCTAAAGTATTCGATACGACATTTGTGTCCTAAACTATTTTTCCGTTAGAGTTGACCGTTAGTTTTTAACAGAAAGCCTAGTCAGCGCTGATGTGGCATCTGATGTGGAAATTTAATGTTAATTTTAATATTTTTTTTCCATATAATAAAAATTTTAAATACAAAAATAAAAAACAAAAAAATTACAACTCTCTCGTCCCCTTCTCCTCCCGTCCGCTACTTCTTCGTCTCCTCTCTTCCTTATTTCCGCCGCCGTCTATATCCAGTCTGAAAAATCCTCCCTGAAACCCAATCCTCAAGCTCTGAAAGTGGTCGCAGAAACCCAGATCCAAGGAAACCCAGAAACCCAGATCTAATGAAACCCAACGATGAAAAGCAATTCAAATACGGCAGAGTCAGAGATGGTTTTGGCTATATAGGTTTCCATCGACGATTTGGTATGGGTTCAAGCTTCCATCCGCTTCCTTGTCGGCAACTGGTACACACGACATCTGGAGTTGGAAACGTCGTTGGAGAAGATATCGATTGGAGCTGGGAGCTCTGCCAGAGAAGACGACGTCGATTGGAACGAGGTAGCCGGAGATTGGGAGCTCTGCCAGAGAAAATCCCCAAATCATGCTCCGAGCCGCCGTTGTCTTGCCCGCTTCAAGCAATGGTCGACGATGTCTTCTTCTTCCCCTCGCAGTTGGCTTCCCAGTAATGGCTGTCGCTTCCCCTCTCCAAAACAGATTCGCCCAAATCCTCAAGGGACTATCGCACCCTCCCTCCCTCCCTCTCGCCATCGACCATTCTTCCCTTCTCTGTCACCGCAAAATCTAGTAAGAGAGAGAGATAGAAATATGGGTAGGACTTCGATTGGAAGTAGGCCTCGCCACGTTGTTCCAATCGATGTGAGAACGGTGAAGGGTTTTCTCAATGGGGTGGGACTTTGATTGGAAGTGGAGGTCGAGTGATTTGGTTGGAGAATCGGCGGCCGGAAATTGTGTGGTGAAAGGCGGTGGTGGACATTTGTGATTTGGATTTGGATTTGGGCGATTTGCGCGGAGACGACAACGGTAGAGATGATAGTGAGAAGTTTTTTAATTTTTAATTTTTTAATTTCTCCATTTTATTTTTATTTAAATTTTAATTACAAATATGAGGTGTCAATGATGTGGCATCTACGTGGCTGCCACGTGTTTGCCACATCAGCAAAAGTCAACATCAAGTTGACCACCGTCTG